GTGGCGAGAAGTTGTAACTGTAGCGGTTATGGCGCTTGTTTTTGATCTCGCAGCAGCTGCTAGATCCAAGCAGAAGACATTTTCGTATATCACGTGCAATCTATGATATACAATGCGTTTTATGTTTAAATGAGTTATTTTTCAGTAGTTGTCAACAAAAATGATAATTCAACAAGCCAAATTTATATATATTGCGAGGGCATTTCAGTTCACGTTGGAACATTTTCATCAGTTGGCCTAGATAAATATAAAATATATTAAATATAATATGAAAAATATTTTGAATATAATAATCTTACGAAACTCATTCATCACAAAATTCTCCCACTCACACATGCAGACATCGAGGAGCAGCCAATCAGATTGCAATTGAACGATGTAAACGACGAGCTCCCTGAATTCCTGAACGCTCCCAAACCATTCCTCACCACGGTGCACATGAACACTCCAGCAGGGACGAGTGTCTACCAGCTGGTCGGTGAAGATAAAGATAGGGGCAGCAAGATCCAGTATATGCTCGATTCAGGTTTTTTTTGGCGTATATAATTTTTTAGTTTTTTTTGTTATTTATTTGAAATGTGAAAATTGTTTGGACTATGATTAAAATGAGTTAAATATATTTAATTGGCTTATTTTAATTTAAATTTCAAAAAAATTTTTAGCTTAAAATCAACCTTGAAATTGAATTAAAAAAAATAATTGATATTCACACGAAAAAATTTTTTCAAAGAAAATTGAAATTGAGCCATAAAAATGCAATCTTCAGCTTTCCATTTCGTTACATTTAAAAAAAATTCGCGATTTGGCAGGCGATAAGGAAAATGAACTAAAGAACGCAAAAAACAAAAAAAAATGATAAAAACGAAACAGACGCTGACAGACAGCTGAATGAATAACTGAATGATATAGTTTGACATCAGAAATGAATCAGACAGGTTGATGAATGTGGAGTTTGTTGACGCAGTTTCAGCATCTCCGCCAACACATGTGCATACTCGTCTCAATCACTCTCACGAGTCCTTAACAATCTAATTAAGTTAATTATTCACAACAATTTTTTTAGTCAGAATACATTAATTAATAAGATCTGAAGTTGTTTTTTTGTCATCATTTTATAAGATTCAAGCATTTTTATCAACGTCTTAGTAACAAGAAACAAACATTTTTTTCATCACATCTCGTTAACAAACTAGACAATGCTTGGCAACATTAGCAATTACTAGACAATACTAGACAGCAACCTAACATACCTTTCTGGAAATCAAAATTGAATACAAATTAGATATTCATATAATCATTCTGAATACTTTTGCACTCAAACTTGTTTAAGCTTGTTAACTTATTTCACAGCGGACTCAAATGGGGCTTATAAAAATCTAGGAATGGTTTTCAAAATTTGAAATTGAACTTCTGACATTTGTATCTGAACGTTGGCGTATGTTAACCATTTAGCAATTATTTCAATTCATTATACAACATTTAGACATCAATTTGCTAAAAGTAAAACTCCATTAAAACATAACTAATTCATTTAAATTCTTAAAGCATATTGATTTAACTTATTAGAAAGAGAACGAGAGAGAGAGAGAGAGAGAGAGAGAGAGAGAGAGAGAGAGAGAGAGAGAGAGTGATAAAATGTAATTTTGTTTCTAATTCATCGATTGATTGATTCAACGTTTTGTTGTTATCTTGTTGATGCGTTCATTAGTGCACATGCACACACACACACACACACAAACACACAAATGCAAACACATACACAGAGACACACACGCACACACGTATGTATATTTGTTTGACGCAGTGCACTTTTTGACGTTGTATGATGTGACATGTATTAATGAGTCGTGTTATTTATTGGTTGTGATATTTTTTGGTTCAGTGTGCTCTGATAAAACATTTTCCCTGATTTTTGTAGTAGTAGTGCGGTATTTTTCGTCAGCATTAATATTTTTTTTAATGAGTTGAAATAGATTATATCTTGAATTAACAATTATATATAAGAGTTAACTCAGGCGCAATACAAAAGATGAATAAATTGATTACACAAGTAACAATTTTACAATTTTAGTGTCATAATAACCACACAATAGTCTTCATCAAAAAAAAAAAAAGTTTTGTGAAGAAACAATAAATAACTTGATGTGTTTGAAGGCATGGTCCATTTACAACTGCATTTAACATGAGATTTATCATTGCTGACGTTTTGTCAGATGTGGTTTATTTGAAAACATCTCAGATGTTATCATTAACCTATCTCTATGTCAACCAATCCTCAATAACCAATTTTGTAGGACTCATTCATTTCTAGGAAAACTTATTGAGTTAAAATTTGTTAAAACTTCATCAAATGATTATGTTTTTAGAGTTGTTACAATATCGTGAGAGTAGAATTATTTATTATACTTAGTATATTTTGTTCTAGACCATCCTAATAAATTATGTTTTCTTTTCTGAAAACGTTAAACCACTGCTAATGTTTAATCTGACTAACAGTAAACAATTTTCTGACTTTATAGACTTTGCAGACAGATACAAATTCATTTTGTGATTTTTTTTATGTGTTCATTTACTTTCAAAAAACACATCGTGTAATGAGTATTAATATTTATTCTTATGTGAAATTAAAAATTTTTATTAAATTTTTATATTAAAACTCAAAATTTGTAAAACTTAATATTTATTCAGAGTGAAATTTAAATTTTTTTTATTACCCAACCCAACTCCCACAGGAGATTCCGACCGTTTCGACGTTGACAAAGACACGGGAATGGTCCGAACGAAAGGCTCCCATTCCTTCCCACAGGGAAGAGAATTTGAAATCGGAGTTTCTTGCATGGATATCAGTTCACCGGTCCTGCAAAGGTCCGCCACGCATTCCTTGAAAATTTTAGTTGGAGAGAGAGAGCCTCAGTTCTACGAGACTCAATATGTCGCCAGTTTTCCTGAAACTGCCCAGCAAATGCATCAGTTGGTTTTTTTTACAATGAACAATTATTTCATTTATCATTTCCCACTCTAAACACACAAATTTTAATTTTTTGTTTAAAATTTTAAAATATACAATTATTGCATTTTCCCTAATTTCATGTTTGTAACTAAAATTTCAGTATTTACTACAATATGAAAGTTGAAAAGTGGTTTTAATTAGGTTCCAACCGATGTACTTTTCAACTTGCCGTGACATTTCGTATACGCGTGCAATTATACTTATCTATCAAAAATATTTTTTATTTGGGTGCACCAGTAAAAAATTTTGTTTTATAATTTTTAGCTTTAAATTTCATGTAAAACGTCGTAAAATGTTGTAAAGAAAAAATAATATTTTCAGTGTACTTTTGTGAACTGCAGGACACGGTACAATTAAATGCGGTTATAGTTGTTGTTTTCAGTGGGGTTCATAATAATTTATCCTTTCATTGACGTTTACAATGTCGCGAATGTAGACATGTGTGTGTGTGTGTGTGTGTGTGTGTGTGTGTGCGTGTGCGTGTGTGTGGGTGTATGTGTGGGTGGGAGTGGTATAGGTTTTTTCAACGTGTATTTATTTAGTGATTATATAATTTTGTGTTAACATATATTAATAGCTAACTGATGTAAAACCAAAATACTGAATTCACTAGTATAAAGAAAATAGTAAAAAATTATATATATATTAAAACAGAAACGATGTAGAGCATACCCTTTTTTCATTCATGCAAAATGAAATTAGGCGCTTGTCTGGTTTCTTGTCATCTTATTTCAATTTTTTTTAGAAGGGAAGAAATAAAAAACTAAAAAATCAACTGAAAGTTGAAGAGTACATTATTTGTTTATTTCTACTTATGATTTTTAACGTGCACGCATACGCGGACTTTTGATTGATTTTTTAATTATTTTCTTTGTCATTTGGTTAAAAAAGTTAATTTTTGGCTAAGTTGCATTTCAAAATGTACGATAAATAGCAAATCAAAAAATTTTGTTGACTGAATGATGCTGCTTAACCTTAAATCTAACGAAAATGCTTTATCTTTGGAGAGCTTTAGCCCAGATTTTCCCTCTTGGTCAGGTCTTTGATATTTACCATTTATGTAATATTTAACAGGAAATTCTAAATACAAATGTTTTCAAACTGCACAGGATAGTTCAGATAAAAGCCATATCCCACCAAGGCTATCCGATCACCTACGAACTGACTACAGAATCAGGTGGGCAGTCTAATGAATTCGCCATCGACCAAGTAACAGGAGTGGTAGACCTGTTGAAACCCCTGGACTACGAGAAGGACCCACAACAGTATCACTTGAGGGTCAAGGCTGTCGAAAATGGTCGACCCTCAAAAACCAGTGTTGTCAACGTAGGTTGATTTTCGGTTTCATTGTGTTGATGGACGTTATCTTTAGCCATAAGTTGCATTGTTTTACTGATTGTAGTTTACTGTTGTTGGTTCCGTTGTTGTTGTCGTTGTTGTTAAAATTTGTTGGTTTTGTTGTTGTTGTCGTTGTTGTTGAAATCTGGTGATTTGTTGTTTGTAAATTATTCTCTTGTAACAGCAATTATATATTATATTTTTTTATGAAGTTTTTTAAACAGTTAATCTATTTTTTGAAAAAATTTAGTATATGACTAGTTTTTGCGATTTTATTTTCAGTTAAATTCGAAATAATTTTCAACCGTCGATCACTTTTTGATAGGTTGAATTTTGGGTAATAATATGTTATTTGAAATTTCAATATATTTATACTTGCTAGCCAAAATTAATAGAAAGACTGATTGATAAACAAATATAACAGACAAAAATAAAAAAAAATATGTAAAGATATATATGGAGTAAATATATATATATATATATATATATATATATATATATATATATATATATATATATAGATAGATAGAGTGAATAGAAAAAAAATATAAAACAGTTCTCCAAGTGGTCTCGACATTTTGCAAGCCATGATATTGTTATCGAAAAAGATCTTGTCGCCGTCAACACACATAAGCTATGTGCCTTTTGTTAGAAGTGTTATCATAAATTGTTTTCTTTGTGCGTTCGTTGGTGGAATAAAAGGCTATAATATAGTTTTATCTTATTCTGAAATGTGAGAAATTTCTTTGAATCATTTAAACTTCAAAAAATGTAAATAAAAATTTAATTTTAATATTTTTTTAAACGAACAAACATTAATACGGAAGCGTTATCTAGCTGATCAAATAATTACTTACTTGAAATAAATTAATAAAATATAGAGTTTTTAAATAAATTGAAATAAATAAATATTTATATTTATTTTTAAAGCTGTTTAAATTTATATTTAAAACTGTTTTATTTCCAGAGAATTTTCTATAAAAAATTGGTCCTTTCCAAGGTTGGAAGCAATAAGTAGCGTGTACAAGTTAAAACGTTAATAACATTTCAAAAAGGTTCAGAAAGATATATGGAAATGAAGAAATGATATAAAAATGCTATAAAATGATAAAAATTTAGAAATTTTTTTTGCCAAAGTAAGGTCATAAATATGTTTGGCAGAATCGTTATTTTAGATCGTAAATATTTCAAAAAATGTTAGTCAAAAATTAACATAGTCTCTATCTATTAAAACGCAAGGTCACTTCAGTAAAAAACGAACTCAATAGAAGCTACATCATAAACAATTTTAACAATAATGAAAAATGCGGAAAGCATGAGAAAAATTTTCAATTTTTCCATTTCAAAAATGTCCAAAACAATAAAAAATTTTAATTTATTTTGTTAGTAAATTTGTGTATTATGTTTTTAGTTAGATTCACCATTGATCTCTACTAAATAAAACATTGATTCTTTTGAAATGCTAACTAAACTAACAATAAAAGTTACATAATTTATTCGCGTAAAGTTTTGCACTTATTTTAGTTTGTTAGAAAATTAAACTTCATCTGTAAATTTTTTCAACGTTGGTGTGAAACTGAATGTTTAAATGAACTAACTTGGCAATGAATCAACCCACCCTTACAAGAAAAAATCTTCCAAATTTCAATTCCCATAGAATGCAAGATTAATTGCATATTTCATGCAAGTACATGTTGAACGTCAGTGCGAGCATGTTACCGGATTGAAAAATAACGAAGATTGAGAAAAAGATTCTACCATCGCCAACACTATTAACATTCTCTTGACGCAACCAGCTTGCTCATTTGTATTCAATCGCGATCGGAATTATTTTTGGAAAGGTCCTGCTGCTTCTCGTAAACAAAATTTCGCTTTTTTTCTCTATTTCAAGATAAAACTTAACAAAGTTTAAATCTCTGATAACCCGCTTCAAATAAATTGCAGCTTCTCTTGCAGGAAAAATTAGGATTTTAAATAATTTTTTCTCATATCTTGAAAAAAGGGAAACTTAGCGCCATTTGGTAAACTACGTTGGTCAGATAAGCGAATTTATATCGAGAAACGTTTGCTATGCCTGCACGGATGATCTAAAGCTTGCATCTCAGAGAGGATGTAGTTTGTGTTGTTCCATTGGAGGCATTTTCGTAAGAAGATTTGTATCAATTCATGTTTGCTACTGTGATTAATCGCATATAATTCATGTCGCTGATGGTGGTTACAATGTTGGACGTTGTGTCGGTGGCTAAAGTTCCAGTAGGACATCTTACAGTGACGTGAATAAATCTTTGTTAAGTTGTTGGGAGCACACAATGCCTCAGTGATCGATGGCTGTCCATTTGTCCATCCATTATCACCTCTCCTCCGCTTGTGCGAGATTCTCTACTCACCTACTCATTTCATTGGGTGTTTGCATGTTTGTATGTTCGTTCGTTTGTTTGTTTGGTTGTATGTTTGTCTGTCTGCCTCTTCGTTTGTTTGGTGTTTATGTGATTATTTGAATGTGTAAATAAGCTGATTTCTATATGGCTGTTCATACGTGCATTTCGCCATCATTCTGTTGGTTACTGGTCAGTATTGGTCATTATGATATTTTTTGTGGTTAAGTTGAGGTGCTTAATTGTTTACCGCGCTTCAGTGTTTCTATCTGCATTGACATGAGTCTAAATTCGATTGTTTTTGTTAAATTTTGCTTGTTTTCTTGTGTCATTATAATTTTTTTTATAACGTTAAAGCGAGAACTGAATATTCTTAGCGTGTCTGCATATTTGAAATGATGTAAGTTCACGTTGGTTATTTAAATTGTTTTTGACTGACATAATGCCACTACATAACCTATGGAAATTTTTTTTTCTACAATTTTTTGAAAAAAATATTTCAGAAAGTTTTTAATTATTGATGACATTGTAATTTTGTATTTTTTCCAACTTAACACACACTCTGACAGTTAAAGCGCAAACATAATTTTCAAAACAATTTTCGGTAAGCCTACATTTGTCAAAAGTAGGTTTTTCATTAATACTAATAGTATGTCTGTCTGATCCGATCGGTCTTTTCTTGAAAAAAACCCATAAATTGAGAAGCGGTGATGTCGACATTATCATAAAGTAATTTATGGTTATTATCTTTACAAAGAATTTTGTTTACTATTTGAAAAACTAACTGAAACAAAATTAGAAAACCGGTTAAATAATTCAATGTACCATAAAAGTGTGACAAAAAAGCTAGTTAGTTTTCTAGAACCTTTAGTTTTTATATATGTAAGTTTTAAAATCATTTAACAAAGAGAAATATAAAAAAAATTTAAGACGAATATGTTCACAAAAAAGTTTAGTTTAGTTTAGTGAGACATCAAAAGTCTGTATTTTTTGGATGTTATTCGGGCCTCATTTCATGCAAGGATAAACATGTACTTGTATATATTTTCATATTTTAGGTTGACTTTGCCCGTACTTAGTGCCTAGATCTGTCGAGTAATTCATTTTCTACACGCGGTTTTCCACAAAAATGTAATTTTCTTATGAGTTTTCAGATTAAATAATATTATATTTATAACAATTGAATAAAATTATTTCTGCTGTTTGACTGTCTCTAAGAAAATATTAAAGAGCTTATTGAAAATTATGGATGGTATTAATTAGAAACAAAAAAATTGTGGTTAAAAATGTTGTGTTTTTTTCATTCTTATGATTTGTATGAAAAAACTTTCTTAAGACGGTTTTATTTTAAAAAATTAAAATAACTTGACTTGCACATACACACAGACACACACACACACCACACACACACATACACACGCACACACACACACATACACACATTTATTATTTTGATTTTTGCAGCACAGAAAATTTTCAACGTTTGACACGTTTGTCGCTGGAAGAGTCGTTCGATCATTCTTGTTTTTATTAAACATCAGGCAGGTAGACAGCCAAACACAAACTTTTGCATCACATTTACACACACACACACACAGCAAACACACACACAAACAAACACAAACACACATGTAAACTAACGAATTCACACACATTGCACCAAATGATTCGAGCACCGAGTAATTTTTGAGTCAATGCAATTTTTTTTATTTGATTCCAATGTAAACATTCCTTTTTAATTTGGTCAGTGCAGTTTTGCAAAATGAAACATCTCAAATTGTTGATATTTGCAATTTTTGTTGGAAACTCGAGTTGAATATTGTTTATTCGTTAATAGCTGATATTGAAAATTAATAAACCTTTCTATTGAATAAAAGTTTGACATTTTCTTCAACACGACCCCATTTTGGATGACATAAAAATATAATTTAACCGATCAACAAATTAATTTTCAATAAGAATAAGGTTTGAACTATTTCAACAACATAATCTTTCCTCAAACTCCGGCAGGCATTCTGAAGGTATAATCATTAATAGCAGGCCTGCAAACAAAGTTTTATGTACATGCACTGATTCCATCCCGACCTTATCTCAACCCATAAAACAGGCTCGGGCTTGCTATAAAAAAATTTTCAATTTCGATTCAGTTTTATTTGTTATTTGTAACGTTGAGTAACTTATATTTGTTTTTTTTTAGTTTTTATTTACATAAATCTAGGTAAAAAATGTGCCATTAAAATTTTGTTTTGGTTGCTAGTATTTTTGAATATTTTTGTTTGAATTGAATTGAAAAAAAGTTTGTTGTTTACTCGAAATATACTCAAAAATATCGTATCTTTATGTGCTTGTAAGATCTATATTTGGTTCTTTCTTCATTGTGTTATTTATATATATTGAGAATTAAATTTTTTAAATCAGTAGGGTATAACGATGTAAAATGATAAGGTTGGTGATGATGTGGGAATACGATAGTAACAATGTGGTGATAATAAAAATGATGATGACAATGATGATGATGGTTGTGGTGATGTGATGGAATGACGAAAGTCATGACCATGTAGCAAATTATGATTTGATTATGTGAGACGGCACTAAATATGGTGATGTTGATGTGATGATGATGATGAGGCTGATGTTGATGTGATGATGATGATGAGGCTGATGTTGATGATGATGATGATGAGGCTGATGTTGATGATGATGATGATGAGGCTGATGTTGGTGATGATGATGATGAGGCTGATGTTGATGATGATGATAACGATGCTGATGTTGATGATGATGATGATGAGGCTGATGTTGGTGATGATGATGATGAGGCTGATGTTGATGATGATGATAATGAGGCTGATGTTGGTGATGGTGATGTTGTGCATTGAGTTAAACATATCGACTTCGTCGATATGTTTAACTCAATGCACACATACACCAACAGACACATACTCAAACACACATACACTCATGTACAACATAGGATGTTTAACTCACCACAAACACATATCAACAGATTCGCACACAAATACACAAACCAGCTCAGTTTACGTAAAATGCCATATATTTATAATATAATATTATTGGATTAAGACTGCTAGACATGCAATTATTGATGAAAATCACAGCCTGTTCGGCGTTTTTTAACTCCAAATTTAACTTTTCGATTTTTCTAACGGTTGATCGTAAATCATTTTCAATATAATATTATTAAACATAATAAATAAATAGCATTTCGAATAGATAGATATATTTATGTAAATTGATTAATCTTGTTTGGATGTAT